GCTCGAATTACTTTTAACGAAAAAGAACGAATTACTATTCTAATGATGAGAGGGTACGGTGACAGAAAAAGATCTTATTGTGAAGTAGCCAACTTGTTCAATGACACTTTTCCAAACCGTTCTATTCATAAGGCGACGATACAAAAAACTGTAAAGCGATTTGAGAAATCTGGAGAAGTAAAAGATAGATACCGATCAGGTAGACCGAAAAGAGTTATGAATGACAACAAAACTTTAGATATAATGCAAAGTTTTGTAGAAGATCCACATACATCCTCACGTAAGGTTGCACAAGTACATGATGTAGGTCGTTCTTCAGTCTTACGTGTATTACTTAAGAATAAATTTAAACCATACAAGATTAACTTATTGCAAGAATTAAGTGAAGATGGACTTCGATCGTAGATTAGAGTTTACTGAGGTAATGATGAAACAAATTGAAAATGATGAAAATTTCGTTAACAAAATATGTTTTTCTGATGAAACAACCTTTAGACTGTGTGGAAGTGTAAATCATACTCAAAAACCACAAAAAATTAAATGTATGATCAGGTATAGTAGGTACTCAGTTAATTGGGCCATTTTTGGGAAATGTTACTTAGAAATGAAATTGTACCTACACTAAGAAACTTGTTTGGGGCCAATTTTAATCAGATATGGTTTCAGCAAGATGGAGCTCCACCTCATTTTGGTGTAAATATTCGGCGTTATTTAGATGAGATATTTCCCGGACGATGGATTGGTAGACGAGGTAGAAATGAATGGCCTCCACGTTCACCTGATTTTAATACTAAGAATAATTTTTATTGGGGATACTTGAAAAATTTAGTTTACAAAACTAAACCAGCAAGTCTTGCAGAGCTAAGGCAACGAATTATCGATGAATCTCGAATAATTTCTAGACAATCATGGAGAAACGTGGTAGACGCATTCTACCATCGATTAGGGTACTGTCAACTCACAAATGAAGCACATTTTGAACACTTGATAAAGTAACCATTATGCTAAAAAATGTTGTAATCTATCAATTGTTAAGTTTTAATGTAATTAAAAAGAGTTAGTATTACTCGTATTAATTAGGATATTCCAATAATGACTAAAGAAGACTATATATATATATATATATATATATATATATATATATATATATATATATATATATATATATTATATATATATATATATAGAGTGTGTATAACGACGCTAAGAATACAATTCTTTGGAGGGTAACTTTTGGGAAAGCGTCAAAACAAGGATCAGCTAGAGATGGTATAAGCCAGCTTGGTGTAGAACTTTATTCTAAATGTGAATTTTCGGTGATATGTTGTCACCTTCATCAGCACCTAAATGGAAAACCTATTATAGTACAGTGGTGGAAATCAACATTTAAAAACCTACATTGAAAATGTTCAGTTGGTCCTAGTTGTAAAGAACACTGTCACAAACATGTTAAAAATATTATGTATTTTTTAATATTTTTAACATGTTTGTGACAGTGTTCTTTACAACTAGGACCAACTGAACATTATATATATATATATATATATTATATATATTATATATATATATATATATATATATATATATATAGTTTGACCGAGAACTGTCAATTTTGAAATCCGTTAGTGTGATGTCTAAGTGGCAAATATTTTACGTGTTTGATTCATACTCTGGTGTTTGTCAGTTCGAATCCTAATATGATTTTTTTTCTTTTTTTGAAATATTTAAAAACCTCACGTTAATCTTAAAAAATATATGTAATATACGAAAAAATGCTAAATTTTAAAATAAAATGAAAATTTACAACATAATCCGAGTTGTTGGTTTTTTATTTTTATCTTCGTAAAGTAAGTTATGTATATTGGCAGTTTTAAATACTTATGAATATTGCATTTTAATTTATATTGTATTATTATATTGAATTATGTTGCAGGGTATTTATTGTATTGTAATTTTTATATTAATAACAAAATAAACAATGAATTTTACTGCAGAGTAAAAATGCATGCGTAAAAATATATATTTTCATTAAAATATTGATACAATCCTTCATTTACTATAATCCTATTACAGGTCAAATGTTTATACACAGCAAATGATGCACCATATTCCTATATAACTAATTATTTTTCTCTTTCTGCTCTCTCTTACCTATAGCATTACATATGTAATGATTGTTCAGATTGACTCCCATATAAATTTGTAACGGCGAACACATTTATAGAAATATAACTTCTACCGGCAGTCCCACTGGACTGCCACACCCGTTTTTTTTTTCAGAGAGAAAGTGAGTTACACCGTAATTACCACCCTATTTAAAGTTAGTCGTTGGCTTTGTTCAGTTCTTGTTTTGTTCTTTATTTATTTATTTATATTTATTAATACATTCCAGAAGTTTGACCAACTTAAAATGATTAGTTTAAAAAAATATGAGTTAAAAGCCAATAACGAATTTTTGTGGTTTGGTAAAAAATGCCCTTTTCTTCAAAATAAAAAGATTAGCATTAGAGACATAAAAAACATGTTTATATAGAAAATTGTAACTTTTTTAATTCCCAGGAATTTGGTATGCGAAAATTTTTATGCGGAAAAATTGAGTGAGATATTAACAATTCAAACTTCTACTAACATGCAAAAACTACCTTTACCAACCATTTCAAAGTCACTCTTTTTTGAAACTTGTAGTTCTTGTAAAAACCTACAAACGGCTTTTTCACAAAATTTTCTAATGTAAAAAATAACAAAATTATGTTTCAAAAACCAATAATTTTTTTGGAAAAAAATGGAGAAATCCAATTAGGTTTTGAACAAAAATAAAAAAATACTTTTTTTTTCTTTGAATTGGCTGAAAATTTTTGAATTTAAAAATTGTTTGAATAAAATAATTAGCATTTTTGTAGCATGAAGAGGGTTTTGTAACATTACCTAACGAAATAATATATGTTTAGGGTATCATCATCATAAATACCCTTCTTCTTCCCCTTCCTTCTTGTATGTAGGCTTTAAAACCTGTTTCTTCTTCGATATTAGCCTCCTAAATTGTTTAAATTATCGCACCATCTTTTTCTTGGTCTGCCAATATTTTTTCGTCCATTTGGTGAATTATCTCGTGTTATTCGTACTATCCTCTCGTATGCCATTCTACTAATATGTTCGTTCCACTCCTGTTTCCGTTTTGTCACCCATCCATTTATGTTTTCTATATGACTTTTTCCTGATATTCGTCGGAGTATTTTCATCTCTGTTGTTTCAAGTAGTAGTCTCGTTTTAGATGTATCAGTTCTTGTCGCCGCCATATATGTTAATATAGGTCTATTTGCTGCTTTATAGATTCTTGTTTTTGTGGCTTGTCTTAGGTGTTTGTTCTTCCAGATTGTGTCATTAAGAGATACCGCCGCTTTAATTGCTTTTAAGCTTTGTTGTCGTACTTCTTAAAGATCTCCGTAACTAGTTATATGTATTCCCAGATATGTAAACCTTGTTTCTCTCTTTATTATTTTCCCATCAATTTCGAATTTACATCGTAGTGGGTATATAGATATAGTGGGTCATACATTTGGTTTTTTCTGCTGATACTACCATGTTGTATTTCTTGGCTGTTGTATTGAAGATATGTGCTAATCTTTGGAGTTCGTCTTGTGTCTCGGCAACTCTGCCTTCGGCAACTCTGCCTAATCTCGGTGGATTAAGTAGCTTAGAAGCCGCGTTCATGCCCACAGCCGGTCCCAAGCCCGGATAAAAGGGGAGGCTTGAAACCATTGTAAAAGAAAACAAGGCTCAAAGAACCGATATAAAGCCTCAGAAACATAAATATACACTGTTAATAAAACGAAAGGTAAAATTTCAAAGTTTTAAATAAAAAGTATCCACCTTTGAGTCCGAATATCTTCAAACATGCCATGTTACGTGTGTCTAACAGAATTAGATATACATATTTACGTAAAAAACAAAAAATTTAAACTTTAGTCAGTGGCTTTACATTTTTTGTTAAATGGTCTTTGAAGTAAAAAATCTTCGGCTATTCCACGGTCATTATTGGGAAATCTTTGTTGTATATAAATTTAAACTAGTAACTTACTTGGTTTTGCGGGTAACTTGGGGGGTTTTGCGTCATTTTCGTTCGGCACATATGACACTCTTTTTGGGGGATTGGGTTGAAAAGAAATTTCCTTGACGAAATTCGAAGGAAATACTCCCTCCTTACCGTTTAGGTTACCTCTCCACCAGCCCTCTTCCTCTTCTCCTATTATATCAATAACATCTCCTACCTGTAAAGGAAAAATGACAAAATTCGTAAATGATTCGTCAAAATAAAGTCAAAAGTTTATAGATAAATGTTTAATAAATAAATCAAAATATTCTGAGTTCAGCCTTTAATGTAATTATAAATTTGGTGTGTGTGAACTTAAAGCTAATTTTTGTGATATTTCAAATGTATAAAATGTGTTTAATTTCATTCTGTAATAAATTGGTTAATCTGCTATTAACTAAAAACAAGTCTCTGAATAATGGGATACCAAATAAACTGCTTTAAGATTGTAGAACAGCAATGATGAAACAAGTAGCTAGAGGAAGATCACCATTGTGACGGTCAAACCAAATAATGCCATTGTATACATAAGAAGAACAAAGTATAAAAAGAGAAGAAAAACAGATCATTTTTCTTGTGTTTATTACAACATTTTTATTCCGATTATGGACTAACATTTTCTTACAGATATTTTCGTTATTTTAGCCCACATTTAATGCCTATAGCAATCAAATATGTTAGATTTATAAATAAATTAATACAGGTATCGACAAATGATAAAAATATTAACAAACACGAGTATACGAGTATCTGTAAACAAAGAAGCAATAAAATTGATCCACTTGCAATAAATTTCAAGATAAGATAATTGATACTACACTATATTTTGTTTGCAGTTCATCAGTGACTCTTTTGTATAAAAAATTGCACTGTGGATTTATACAAAGAGAAAGAAGGGGAGACCAATAATCTATATTAATAAAAATAATTATTTTAAATCTATAATAATTATTATAGTAATTTTTATTTTTGTACGAGCATCACTTCAAAACGACTGCACCAAAATAGATAATTCTTTTTTGCTGTGTTTGTTATTATCAAGAGAAGGTTTGTGTAAAAGATAATTTTCAAAAAATTGTATGACTTTCTTTCTTTCTTTCTTTCTTTCTTTCTTTCTTTCTCCCCTTCCTTTTACACTATCAGGGTGTCGGATTTGGGCTAGCTATTTTAATTTCTATTTACCCACCTCTTCCATTCTTTTCTGTTTCCTGCCATTATTTTCAATTCCTCGAGTGATTTTTGTTTAAATTTTCCCGCCTCTACTACTTGCTGTATCCATTTTTTTCTTGGTCTGCCTCTTTTTCTTTTTCCGATATTTTTTGCTTCATAAACTTTTTTTGTTATTCTATTGGATTGCATCCTCGTCAGATGCCCATACCAGTTCATTAGTCTCTTTGGTATTTTGTTCATTGTCGGTTCCTGGTTGGCCATTCTCCTAATAGTCTCGTTGCTTAATCTATCACATTTTGTCTTTCCAACTATCCTTCTTAGATGTCTCATCTCCATTGCGTTTATCCTGCTCTTATGTTTTTCCAGAATTGTCCAGTTTTCACTTGCATAGAGCACAGTCGGTATCACTATTGAGTTATATATTTTTATTCTTGTTTCTCGTGTAAGTTCTCTTTTTCCCATTATTGGGGCTAACGCATAGTATAACTTGTTTGATTTCTTTGCTCTATTTGTTATTTCCCAGTCTATTTTTCCATCATTAGTTATTAGACTTCCCAGATATTCGTAAGTTGATACTATTTCCAATTCTGAGTTTTTACATTTTATCTTTATTTAATTATCTTCCTGATCTCCATTACCGCTGATTATCATTATCTTACTTTTTTTCTCGTTTATCTCCATTTTTAGTTCTTCTATTTGTTCTACCCATATATCCATTAGTTTCTGCATTTTATTCTCGGAATCTGCTATTAGTACTATGTCGTCTGCATACATTAAGGACTCTATTGTTATCGGTTGTAATCTGTGGTAGCCTATTATTGTCTGTAGTTGATTTTTTCTGATTCTAGTGTTTCTTAACAATTCGTTCATTACTATTATGAATAGCAAAGGGCTGAGACTATTTCCTTGTTTAATACCTCTCTTTGTCTTTCTATCGTGTCAAATGCTGCTCTTAGGTCTATGACTGCTAATACTAGTTTTTCGCCCGTATCTATGCTTTTTTCTATTAGGTTTCTAATGATATATATGTTGTCAATTGTCTGTCTTCCCGGTCTAAATGCCGTTTGTTCTCCCAATACCATTTCTACTTCTTGTCTCAGTCTCTTCTCTATTATTTTCGTATATATTTTAAAACATACCGATGACAGACATATTGCTCTATAGTTGTCGCAGTTTACATGTTCTCCTTTTTTGTATATTGGCACGATGATATTCTTCTGCCAGTCTTTAGGTATTGTTTGTTTTTCCCACGCCTCTTTATATATTTTCCATAGCCAGTTTATTCCTTCTTCTCCCATGTATTTTACCATTTCCGGTTCAATTTCATCGTCTCCACCTGCCTTGCCTATTTATATATTTGATAATCCTTCTATTATTTCTTCTCTACTTATTTGCTCTAGCTCTGTATTTTCTTCGCCTTCATTGTTTATATTGTCTTCATTTATTACTTCGGTATCAATTTTTTTCTCATAATATTCTTTCCATACCCTAGCTACTTGTTCTGGGATTATTTGTATTTGGTTTGAAGTATCTCTTACTGCGTTTATTTCCTTTCGTCCTCCTTGCCTTATGTGTCGTATTGTTGTCCAAAAGTTTCTATTATTTGTTATATATTCTTCCTGAAGTTCTTCTCCAAATTCATTCCATGTTTTTGCTTTTGCTTGTGTGACTGTCTTTTTTACCAATCGTCTCTGCCTATAGTATTTTTCTTTATCTTTTTCTAATCCCGTTTCAATGTAATTTTTTCATGCTATTTTCTTCTTTTTTATTTCTGTCTTCACTTCTTTATTCCGCCATCTTGTCCTTTTCAATTGTTTATTATATTTTTTTATTCCACACACTTCAGTTGCTGTTGTCTTTAATACTTCACTGTAAGTATTCCATCTTTCTTCCATTGTCCATGTTTCTTTTTGGCCCTCTATTTGTCTCAGTATTTTGTTAGTTTCCTCCGTGTACATTTCTCGCAGACTTTCTATCTTTAGTTTGTTTACATTTACTTTCTTATACTCTTTTCTTTCCACTTCCTCTATTTTTTCATCCTCCAGTTTTGCAGTGACCATTCTATGTTGTGTAGACAGTTCCGGTTCCTTTTCCGTTAAGATGGTTTTTATATTTTGTTCTAGGTTTCTCGTATAGACTATATAGTCTATTAAGCTTATCGCATTTCTCTCTTCAGGCACAAATATATATTTGTCGTTAATGGTTTGTTCACTGAATGTGTTTCCTATTATCAGGTCATTGGTTTGGCAGAATTCCAGAATTTTAATTCCATTTCTATTTAATGTGTCTTCTCCATATTGTCCAATGCATCCTAATCCCCTGTTAATGTCTTTACCTACTCTTGAAGTCCAATCGCCTAAGATTATTATTTTTTCTCTTGTCTCTCTTAATTTGTCAAATGCGTTTTGGAGTTCGTTGTAGAATTCTATCATTATCTCTTCTTCATTTCCTTCTGTTGATTTGTATATTTGTATTATTCCTATCTTGTCTTTTAGTTCTATTTGGGCTGTGATTATTCTAGATGATACTGCTTCGTAGTTTGTTATTCCTGATTCTATTATTTTATTTACTATTATACCGACTCCTTCTTTTGCTCTGTGACCCTGTGGTACTCTGGAATAATAGACGATATTTCTCATTTATATTGATGTGTCCTTTCCCTATCTTTTTTGTCTCACGTATTCCCATTATTTGTACTTTCATTTTTTCCATTTCTTCCGTAGCTTCTATTTCCTTGCCGGTCAGAGATGTCACATTTCATGTCGCTATTCCAATATGATTTGTCTTGTTATGATGTATTTCCTTATTACCATATTCTTCTTCTGCATTAGTGGTGTGTTCGTTGATTTCATGCTCCCTGGTTTTTATATTAACATTATATCCGTTATTCATTTTATTACTATTTTTATTTTTAATACTAATATTTAATTTTTCCCTACCTTCATTACTACTGCTATGCTCATTATTAATATTCCCCCTAGCTATAATATTATCACTACTGTTAGTATACAAAATACCCATATTCCTATCACAAGTCATATTTATAATAGAATAATTATTATTTACATTTTTAATCCTATTCCTATTACTACTTACAAATTGTATGACAAGACTTCAATAATCGGTTTTCTGTAATTTTAAATAGCAATATAACTAATAGATGGCGTCATACTATGACTAACAAAGTAAGCTATGATTAACAAAATAAATCGAGTTATTGAAGATGTTTTTTATGTCAGCCTTTAATAAAAGCACCTGGGGGACATGAAAGGAGCCTGCACGTAGATTTCGATCACATGTGAAAGCAATTGGGCGTCCCCTGGAAACGAGTAATGTCGGCTACAATCCTTTCACCACCGGTGCACCAACACAGATGCAAACGCAACCAAAATGGCCTTTGTTAAGGTCATTTTTGATAACTACTTCAATTAATATTGAAGGACTATTAGTAAATTAAGAAGATATGTTGTTTAGATCAACTTCTGACAAATCTTTTACTTTTCACGCAATACATATCTGATGCTTTGGCAAGGAGACTACAGGTGGATGCTATTTATACAGATTTCTCCAAAGCATTTGACACTGTGAATCATAAATTGTTGTGTAACAAGCTTAAAACTATTGGATTTCCAGGCAGTCTGTATAACTGGTTATGTAGTTACCTAACCTAATTAGCAGAATACAACTTGTTAAAATTAAACACTTTCAATCTAGTGAGATCTCCGTAACATCTGGTGTTCCACAAGGAAGCCACTTAGGGCCTTTCCTTTTTAATATATTTGTTAATGACATTAAATCTCAAATTAACTCTAAATTTTTGCTATTCGCTGATGATTTAAAAATCTATAGAATTATCGAAGACGTCTCAGATTGTGAAAAACTCCAAATTAATATTAACAA